ATGTGAGAAAATTTAACATCTATGAATTCTGAATTCTTTTTAGTCATAAGAGATTCTCCCATTCTATCAAGAGGAGAATGTTGCTAATTCTCTTTAGTTTGTTGCATGGATAATCACATGAAATTTTGTTTGGTGGCAAAAAATATTCCAGATCTGATGGAACAAAAGTTAAAGTATTTAAATAAATGTATTTTCCCTTAACTTATTATTTTGGGCCCTAATTTCTGTTAAGTGCAAATATTTCCTCCTTATAATCAAATATTAAAATGGCTTTTTTATCAGTCACACAAATAAATTTGGGCTTATCTCTCCTATTCGTTTCAAAGCAGGAAAGCTGAACATTTTGACTACAAACATACAAATAAACAAGTTTAGCTAAGCATGCCTCGTTTTTATATATCATTCTTAATATAACACAATTTTAATTATATTCTGTTGGTAAAAAGAGCCCTGTTAGGCCAAAACTCATTTCAAAATCTGTTTCAGGCACCAATAATTAAAAATACCCACTATATGACATAAGGTGAAATTATGTGATTAACTTAACTTATGGAGGTACTTTAAGGGTTAAAAGAAAAAATACAGATGGAGAAATTGAGGATTAAACCAAGCAAGGCCTATGCACTGAGCAACATGTCTGCCATTTTTAAGGTTTTAGCTTATTTCTGAGACGAGGTCTGTCGAAGTCACTACACCGCCCAGGCTTGGCTTTAACTTGTGATCCTCCTGCCACAGCCTGCCAGAGTGCTGGGATTGAGGGCCAGTGCCACCACACTTGGCTTACTCTGTTCCATAGGGGTTTTTTTGGTACCAGGGATCAAACTTGGGATCTTGCGCTTGCAAAGCAGGCGCTGGAACCACTGAGCTAAATCCCCGGCCCTGTTCCATCTTTCCTTTTATCTTCCCAATACTCTCAAGGTGAAGCTCTCTTGAAATGAAGGTTCAGATACCATTCTTTAGTATGCTACACATATAGGAGATGTTTTGATAGAAACCACATCAACTGTAAGAGCTAATGTTTCAAAACACACAAGTCTTAGAGGAGCAGCTGATAGGTAAATTTCTAAAGCCCGTATAACGTGTTTGGTGCTTTAGACTTACAAAGTATGAAACCTTTTTGAATATTTGCCCTACTCATATGGGAACTGACGTGGCTCAGAGGGGTTGGGTGACTTGTTGGAGGGTCACCCAATCAGTCAGTGGTAGAACTGCCAGATCTGTTTATCTCTAAAGCGTGCTCTTGGCCATTATACTTCATTGGGTGCAGCATAATTTAATTAGGAAAAACAAGGACACAAATCCACGCTCTCGGCCACTATAACAGGCGCACTATTGAGAAAGGCACGTGTTGTTGTGAACACGACAGATCTTGGCCACCAGCTGTAGTAACCACATGATATCTGGCCAGCTATTCAGGACTGAAGAGGACCTTCAAATCCTGTGGGATCTGGGCTCTGCCTAGCTCTGTCTTCCCTGGTCTCTCTCTAATGCCATCCACCAGGCTCAAGAAGTCCTGCTGTCCTACCACTGGGTCCTTAGCCAGCCCTTTCCTCTCTCAAGAAGCTTTGCAAACTCAGTTCCTTCCGTAAAGCCGTCGCCTGCCTAAACTAATCTTTACCTCCTACCTTTTAGTCCTTCGTTGGGGTTAGGGGTAAATACAATGCCTCCTTCCTCTTCTTTCATTGTACCTTGATATTTTCATTCCTAGCACGTGATTGAAATTTTTGCTACACATTTCCATAGTTGATACCTGTTTTATTCCACCAGGGCTTCGCAAACTATGGCTCACAGGGCAAATCCAACCCACTTCTGGTTTTGGCAGTAAGTAAGGGTTTATTCGACACATTCACTCATTTATATATTGTGTACAGCTGCAATCAAGCTCCTGAGGACGAGCTGAGGAGCAGGCGCACCTTGAAAGGCCCCAGATATTTCCTCTGTCTTTCACAGAGAACTTGCTCACCTGGTGGCAGACAGTAATCTGGGTGGAATTCTGATTCATCACTGAACACTTAGTGTTAGACACAGTGCTGACTAGTAAGATTTATTGATTTAGTAAATAAACAAATTATTCAGCTATAAAATGGGATAATTAAGGATTAAATGAAATAATGTGCATGGAGCTCTTGGAACATATTTGGTACCTACTTCATTAAGCTGCCCGAACATACCTGTAAGAATCTGACAACTTGGGATTTTATTACTACATAGTTGCTTAAGAAAGCCATCTTGTTTAGACTGAAATTTTTAAAAGTAGAGTTTACAAACTTGGAAACTGAAAGGAACTAAACACAAAAAAGCTGTTAATTTTTATCCTCGCCTAAACTATTTTGTGGAGACAACTGGAGTTTCAGAACCTTAGCCTTTCCCTATTTCCCTTCTAAATAATAAAGGCAAAATTCAGTTTAAACAAATAGCCCTGCTGTTTTCCAACAGTGATACTTCTCAGCTTATCCCATCAGTGCTGTGATACTCTGGCTCACTGTAAGCCAGTATTTCTCTGTCTGGTAAACACACACCCTCCCTCTGTGTGCAGACAAATACATCATCGCTGTGCTGTAGCAGAGCAGTCTCTGTGACTTAAGAAAAGATGACAGAAGGGCATTGTGTGAACTTTCCCAGGACCGTCTACAGTGGGGCAGGCAACTTCAAAAAAGGCAAAGCACCAAACACTTTTCTTTTTAACACGTGAACACACAGCATAAAGGATGCCCGGATGAGGGTGGCCTCCAAATGATGTGCTGGCTTTATCAGAGGTGACCTATATATTTGGGACCCCCTCCCAAATGACTCTCTGACCCATTCTCAGAGGAGGTGAGAGGTGAACATAACAAACATCAAGATGTAACAGCTGTTTAAAAGTTGTCAACAGTCACCTAACAATGATCACTGAAATATTTATTTAAATGTGGGAATTTTCAACTTTACTAACTCCATTTAAGAGTACTAAATTACAGGGCCTATTGTAACTTTCCAGTGAAGAAAAGAATAACTAGATCCTAAGCCTTACAGAATAAAATCAAATAATTCATCTTTAAGATTTAAAGGAAAGTGGAGGGCTGGGGATTTAGCTCAGTGGTTTCGCTGCCTGCTGCGTGAGTCCAAGGACCCAAGTTCGATCCACGATACCAGAAAAAAAGTAAAGTGGATTTAGATACTTTTTTCTTTTCCCAAAATTATTATGACTTTTAACATAGCTGAGAGTAACACTATATGTAGCTATATCTAAACTTATTTAAAAGTTCATTTGTTAGCCTAAAAGCATAGTGTTCAAATTCTTGTATCTCCATGTGAGATTTAGTTTATAAAGCATAATAGAAGCTCATGAATTCAGCCCACAAAATTTTTCTTCTATCATTGCAAATAAAAGGAAGATATTAATGAATCTCACAAATCAAAAAATGACCAGTATTATTAATAATGTGTAAAAGTGAATTCATGTAATTATTTTTTTTTTTGGTACTGGGAATCGAACTCGGGTCCTTGTGCTTGCGTAGCACATGTAATTTTTAACTAATTCCAAAACAGGTTCTAGTCCAAATAACAAGGTCAGAATATTCAATGGAACACAATATTCAGTATTTCATTTTTAATGTCAATTACAAGCTATAAACTGATTGAAAAGTAGTGTCTTAATACCGGTAGATATATAGCTTTTTGCCTTGATCTGAATCAATTAATAATATGTTTGAAAAAACTGAAGGAATCCATCATAACTCTTAGTATTATTTATCCTTTAGCTCAATTCAGCCAAGTACAAGTCCCATGTACCTCACAATATATAATGATATAAAGGAAAATAAACTTGAAAACCATGAAAAACTTCTTGGTTCTTAACGGCTTACTGGACTTGGTGGCATAAATAACAACTTCTTTTCATTATAACTTACATATATAACAACACTGAATTTACAGAAAGGAAATGAATCTATTCTAGTCTCCTTTGCAGGTTCAGGAAAATAAAAAGGGACCACAGAGAGAGAGAGAGGACGGTCTCCACTAGAGGTATACATTCTGGTGGGCCACCCAAAGGCTATCATTAGCCTTCTTCAGTATAAATGAGCAAGGAGCAAAGCAGTCTTCTCTCTGAGGCCATAGAATACCTGTTCACACAATTGTTAGGATCCAGTAGTCCTGCATTCTCTCCCAAGGCCATAGTTTGCTATCTAACATTAAAGTGACTATTTGCTTGTTCCACATTAATAAGGATGTGAACAAACACCCAGTTACCCATACCCAGCATAACTAAATCCACTCTTCCTCAGTGTAAAGACAAATGAGTCCATGCTCAGGCACTCCTGATGTACAGCCTTTAACCCTGAACTGAACATTTGGATGTGTAAAGTCTTCAGAATTGATTAACTGTATCATGCAGACATTACCAATGGAGTTCTAGAAAAAATTTCTAACACCATCTGCCTCTGTTAATAAAATTCAGGATTTAAAGAATGAATTAACTGAAAGGTTTTGCCTATATTTTTTGTGTTACTAGTATTTTGTGTGGGTATTTTCTTTGTTTTGTTGTCAGTAAAATCTTTAAAAGTTTTGGATATATTTCAAAGTCTCTTTTATGGTGAAAAGAGTGAAAGTCATTTTTAGACAGAGTCTTTGCCTATATTGTAAACTTTTAAATGGACGACCACAAAAGGCCTCATTCCCATGAATATAAGAAAATCTTTGTTTGGTGATGCATGCAAGAGAGTAATGCTATGCTTATTAACTCCTACTTATTAAGCTGTTCATGTCACACAAGTACAGCTTCCACTTAAAATTCATGTTGAAGGAAAAAGTGAATAATCATGAATGTCTAGACTATATTTCTAACAGTTAAGGAACTTTTTCTCCCTTTACACGTAAGAGACTTTCAATTAATTCACAAAACTTCTCATCGTGGATGTTCACTGGTTTACAGTGCTTCTAGTGCCCTTCCCATATGTGGAGAAAGTGTCATAACATCATCTCTCTAAACAAAGGCACAAAGGAGAGCTGAGCTCACTCACCTGTCTGTTACGTTCATCCATAATCCTCGTAATCTGAATCTTTTTTCTCCCCATAGTCCCCGTTTTTCTTCTCTCTCTCGTTCCTGAAATTATGTATTTTTTCCTTCCTTTTCTTTCTCTTTCCTGTTTCCTTCAAACAAATTTCCTTCTTCAGCACTTGCACAGCTCAGTTCCCAAATTCCTGCATTCGTTCCTGCTGAACAAAAAAGAAAATGTAAATAACACTAACAGCCAAGCCAGTTTCATAAGATCTAGCACATTCTAATGCCATCAAGGAAATACACTACATGGAAGAAAAGCAATGACATGAATTAAAATAACTATTTAAAGTACATGGTATCACATATGTAGGAGCATATCAAGTAGGGATGGTTTGTTTTTATAATTAAAATAACCTCATAAGTAATTTAACAAGTCATTTAAATGATGAAAACTGTGCTTTAGAGCCCAACACTTGAAATGTATTTTTTGGTAGAGTTTCTTAATATTTTTTAATGAAATTAGGTGACAATTCACCCTTCCGTTATGAAAAATTACCTAAATCAGAGAGTTAATGAACCTTCATGTACCTGTGTATGCTAAGTAGGGCAGCTAATTCATTTCTGAAGGGAAAACAATCTCGTGTTTTGACAGCAGGGGTGATAACGTCCCTAGTTATGCAAATAAGATGGACCATTGTGAAAGTGCTATTTGATATCTGTAAATGTCAACTAATTTAAATCTAAAGCCTTTAATCTCATTAAAAAAATCACTGCTATGCGAACACTGTAAAAATAACATGGGATATTTCATCTTATAAGCATTTATCAATAGTGAGATCTTTTCCTGTACATGTTGAAAACAGGAATCAAAAAGATAACACTGATAGATAAAAGATACAGAAAAATAAGATTATCACTCCATTTACAGTTAGATCTTTACAACAGACTATATATCTTCTAAATTAAAAAAAAATCATAATCTCTGGGATAACATTCAAAATTACAGGAGCTCAATTTCATATACTGGAGAGATCTAGGTTATGAAGAAAATTAAAGAAATGATTGTCAATTACTTAAGAGAAACCCAAAGAATGCAGAATATTAGAAGTACATATATTTTGCAATGCTCTGAATTATATCTGAAAGTATTTGAGCAAATGAAGGTGAACTGTTATGAAACGTGGAAGTGAACAAGAAAACATTCCACGTGGTCTCTTCATTTGCAAACAGCTTCAATTCTTTTATCTCCTCTTATGTCAGTGAATACAACTGCCACACACACTGCTCAGAACTTCCCTGTTTATTTTAGTCGGTGTCTGACAACGGACCTGATAAATTCCCACGTGTATTGTGTAATGCTAAACCAACGTCCTGGCTATTTAATAGATCAGTTGGCTTTAGTTCAAGGTTCTTTGGAACAGGAAGGCTGTTAGATATTCATTCTGATCCTCAGCTGCCTTTTGATTTTTAAAATTTAATTTCTAAATTCTCTGTCACCTTGAGTAAATTTTTTTTTACTGTAAGTTTTGGTGATTATCTAATTGCAGAAGCTATTATGATATAATTAGTTCTGGTGGATTAGGCACTGCCTAAGACTATCCATTCTCTAACCATTGCCTTTCTACTAAACTTCAGCTGAGTTATGTCTCTCAGAATTTACATGGAGTTACAGCATGGCCACACAGTGTTCATCAAAGATGATTACTCAGGCTGCATTTTTAAATGTTGGAAAAATAGTTCAAAAGTTTTACAAAGATGCATAAATAACACACATTTGGCAAAGACACATAAAAACATTTACTGGAAGATATATTAAAATCCCATTAAAATCTGGAAAATTCAAAAGCACAATTGTGTCATATATCTGATACCGTCAAACACTGTCTATCTTTTAGTATCACTCAAGTAGGCAACTGTTCTGTGATTGCTAGTCTTACCTGAGAAGCAAGCATCACTTTAGATGATTTCCATGCACTGCAGGACCCCACAGAAACAATCACGCTTTCTCTATCTCAGAAAAGCCACCCCATGAAGCCACAGTAAACCCATGTGGGACATTTCCCTTCCTTTCATTTAGCTGAGGCTTGGGAGGCTGACTCTGCCTGCCTCAGTGCTCACTCACGTTAAGGTGGAAGGTCAGGGTGAACAGATTAGAGTGTGCTGAGGAGGCAGAGGGGATGAGAATGTCTACAGACCTTGATCTCAAAATGCAAATAACCAAACAAGTAGCGAGACGTCCCTGGAGAAGTCTTCAGAAAGGCAGAGCTAGTTCCTGGTCAATCAAGCCAAGAGAGTGTGTCTGTATCACTACCCTGGATTTTACAACTTTGCAACAAGATGCTTTTTTAAAAAAAGAGCAGAGCACAGACTTAAAAAAAAATTCCTAAAAACATGATGGGATATCTTTGGTCAGAAAGAATGTATGTGTGAATGTATGCATATATATAAATATAATATATATTATATTTATATATATGTATATATATAGAGAGAGGCTGATAACAATGCCATTCAATATATTTTTCCTTTTGGAAATATGTAAGGCAATGGAGAAAGACAAAAAGGTTAAATTTCAATAGAATTACATGATGTTTTTGTTTTCTGTGTAAATTCGTTTTTCCTGAGGAGCTGCTTTCTGAACATTTATAAAAATGTAAAATGGGTATAAAGTCCTCATGTACAATGATATATGGTGGTTACAGGACTGAGAACCTGTGAAGTAAAATATGTATGAAACATGTGGCTCGGAACATTTGATTACGGTCACTACATTTCAAGGCTGTCAGTAAATATTCAAAAAATGAGGAAGATCAGTGATAGCTCACAAGTTGTTTACTCAGTGTAACTATTTCTCTAACCCAATTTTTACCCAAAATCTATATTGTAAGGTCGGTTTTGAGTACTGATTTATAAGAGGTCTAGAGAGGCAGAGAGATTTATATAACCTTAGCAATATGTTAAAAGGCTTTGCACATATATAAAAAGAATGTAATAGCTGAACTACCTGTAGTAGAAACTCAAGTTATGCTGAGAACTTTCATTATGTACAATCAACCATATGCTTAAGATAATTCTAGCAGCCTTTCCGCTACTTTTTTCCACGTGAAAGCACCATTCTTGGAAAATGACAGTTACATATAAACAATCGGTAATTAAAAAAAAACCTCACTATAGTTACAGTGTATAGAACTACAGGCTTCTGCATTTTTTTTGCTTTTCACCCAATGAAATAAAAGAAAAAGAAAATCAGACTGCTTACTAAAAGGGGAACTTCATTACGGTAGGCCTCTGCTCACTGTGAGCTCGGCACTAGCTGACAGAGGCACAGTGGCTCGGGAGCTGGGCAGGTGCTGCAGCTCCCTCTCCCAGGGCTCCTTCCGTCCAGCGAGGTCCCCAGGGACATGGCCTCCCCTCCCCCTTTCCGCACTCCTTCAGCCCCTCCTTCCCTCCCTCCAACAAATCCCTCCCAGCAACACAGAAGAATCTTGACAGAATGGCAGGAAACACGCACAGACTGGTCAGGGAAGGATGTGATGTCAGCAACCACGAACAATAAAAGGTGTAAAGGTGCTTCCTTCCCTAAACTGTTCCAGAAGTGCAAAATGGGAACCAAAACTCTCCACTTCCTTCTCTGAGCAGAACCGTCTGAGTGCACGGGGCCGCTCTCCCCACACTCAGGCCTTGGAGAAGTTCAGATAAGGGACAGTGAAGGAAATCCAGACAGGGGTCCCAATTTTTAATTTCTATCTTTAAAACACCTAAGGAAAAAACCATTTCAGGTCTATGTTAGTGTTTCGCTATGATCACTACAAGAAATAAAAATAAAACAAATAAAAAATAATCTGATCAATGAGTATCTACAATTCCTTACCAAAAAACACCTTATGCGCTTGATGTTACCATGTGATCTGAATTTACCCTTTGAGACGAATGAAGAATCCTACCTAAGCAAAGAGCTAAAATATGTAAATTATAACTTCTGCTAAACAATTGAGTCATGTAAACTGTCTCCCTCCAAAAAATCAATGTTTGCTGGTAAAACACACTGATTACTTGTATGTCCCGATATTTTTAAAATGTTACATTGGGGAGAAAGAGATTCTCACGTAACTGAGTGTCTCCAGGTTCTGAAATTTAAACTGGGAAGCAAAGTAACAAACAAACTTTCAGTCTGCAGTGAAACTAGTTTGATCTCCCGACTAGACTAGTGAGTTCTTTCTAACGTGGAAACGGCAGACTACCATAAACTTTCTGTAGGAAGAAAGACAAGTATCAAGTGGGTCTGACTCATCATCAGATTTCAATCATCTTCCCACAACACTTTGATTTAGAAATTAAACATAACCTTCAGTTATGTGTTTTGATCATACAGTGAGACTGCCATGCCACATTAAAAGATGTGGGAAGAAATTAATTCTCTTCTGCTAAAATTATCTTTGCAAAGCATGTATTTTGCTACAGTAAGTACAATGCAGTCACTTAAATAAAAACAGCCCATGAATAAGGATAAAACAGTGAAAAATGTGATGTGAATTTGCAAAGAAAGGATTCTGGTTTCTTTTATTCATATTAGCAAATAATTTTTTCAGTGCTTTACATTTTCACTGACATGAGCATCCCCAGTGCTGAAGATCAAGCACGCTACAGCACACAAGAAATAACACTTAAATAAATAGAAGTGGGGCACTTGGTAAAAGGCAAAAAATAATCCTAAAACCAGTTGCTGCAAGCCTGGTGTTACTGATTCCAACAATTAAATGATTATATTGTAAGTGAAACACCTTGCTCATTCTGTTGCATTTAGATATATTTAACTTTCTACTTTAGGATTTGTTTGAAAGACATATGAGGTGTGCAATTATACTTCGCTTACAAAGAACAGCAGAACTTTCACCCTGTTTCCCTTATGAGCTACTCTCAGCTTCAAACGCTATAAATGAATTATTATGCTTTTTGGTGCTTGACTACATCATGGGTTGAGGAATATTTCATTGGTCTTGAAAGCCACTTCATCTCTCTCTAAGCGCTCTGTGTATATTATGGCATGTTCTATCACTCTAGTTATGAATGCAAACCGTTCATTTTTAAGTTACATAGCCAAGACCCATTCTCCTAAGGATAATAAAAGAATGGCCATTCTTTCCACCTGCAGAGTACCATCATGCCAAACACAAAGTCATTTTCCCAATTGCCTCCAATTGCGTATCAAAATCTG